TTTTTTTACTGTGAAAACATAAAACTTGTTGCCTTTCTGGGTTTTTTTTTACTGTGAAAACATTAAAACTTGTTGCCTTTCTGAAGTTTCTTTTACAGTGAAAACATTAAAACTTATTCCGAAGGGAAGAAAACATATGTATATATATTTTTTTTTTCCAGACTTTCCAGTACCTATGTCGTCAGGGTATTATTTGCCTTTTGTTGAAGAAAGTCTTATAGAATGGAAAGAAACAGGACGTGGGCTGCATACCAGTCATATTGGATTGTACGTGCATGTAGCAGAAAAGAATTGTTAGTTCACTTCTGTTTTGGCCATACGTAATACTCTTTCAGTGTGTTTGGATAAATAAAGTCTGTGCTAAAGACATAATATTTGGGTATAAGAGAATATTGAGTGTAAAGACAACACTTGTAGCCACTTATTTGATACCTTTGGTTGTTATTTTATGTGGCAAGATTTGAGAGTCAATAAATATTGTAGTCACAAAAATATTTTGAGTGTTATTGAATTCTTTCCAATCTATGAAAAAATAACAAAACAGGTGTATGTTAATGAGTTGCTAGTAGCTGTCCAACTTCAGTTTTTAAAGTTAACATAGGTTTTAATCCCATGAGAAGAAAATAATGACTTTGGAATAGGAGAATTGAGCTTTAAAGAGAGGTGTTAAAACCTTTCATACTGTTATGGTAATTTGTAGCATCTATATTGTAAAGATATGCAAAAGTTTAACAGTTGGCAGAGAATTGTTTCAATATCTAAAGGCAACATTATATATAATGAATTTCAGTCCATATTACCATACAAACCATTATTAATGTATATATTAAATGGGGTTTTAAAATGCTCTGAATGTGTGTGAATGATGAACGTGAAGAAATATATTCTCAGTTTGCTCTTGTCAGTAGAATTCCATCTGTTTGAAAGTTAAAATTCATGAAGGATTCTAGCTTTTAGAAGAGTATTTATTTATACATAACCTAACCCTGTTTATGCTAATAATTCTCCTTAAGATGATATAAAACTGTAATAACCATAAAGATACACTTATGATTCACTTTATTCTTGATTTTTAGAATAATGTGATAATAAACACTTGGTCTAATGTGTAACCTTTTTCACTTATAAACTTCTATATTGTTACCCTTCTACTAAAATGTAGCCTGTTGTGAAGGTTTTGAAGTAAACAATGTAATCCTTACTCCTTATCATATTGAAGGTTTCTCCATAAGTCAGAGAACTCTATTGGTGACAAATACGGAATGTTCATTTAACTCTTAAGTACCTTGAATACTTAATATTTTAGGTAAGGGCCATTCATTGCCTGGTGGTTAGTTTGCTCAACCCACAATCTGAGGAATGCAGATTTGAATTCCTGTCACCTAACATGCTCGTTCTTTCAGCCATGGGCGCTTTGTAATACGACAGTCAATTCCATTAATCGTTGGTAAAAGATTGTCGATGGGTGGTGTTGTCTAGCCGTCTTCCCTCTCGTCTATCACTGCTAAATTAGGAACTCCTCTTGCATATAGCCCTCGTGTAGCTTTGTGTGTATTTCAAACCAAATCTTAGGTAAGACAATTACTATGATGACTAGCAAGGAATGTTCATTTAACTAGTGTGTACTTAATTGATTAGAAGTCATTATTATTTGGCTGTGGTCTACATTTAAGTAATTATGGGTGAAGACTTGGCTTATAGGGAGATTTTTTGTTTTAATATACATATATTTGTGTTAATCATTTTTGTACTGAGATCTCTCATTTTAGATCAGTAAAGGCATTTGTGACTATGTTAATTACCGAGTTAATTTTTAGTTCTGTTCTATGTTGGTAGCTTGCTTTGATCAGAGATTATGATTGATGTCAGGCCTACGAGATTCCACACCTTTATCTAAACCATACGAGTACAACTTTCAAATATTTTCACATTTGTTTCACCATAAAGGTTTTTGTAGACCACAAACATTGAAAACATGATTACTTCTTGAAAAGTGTATTAAAGTCGCCATCAGTGGGAATGGGAACGGTTGCCACTTGACCGGTGTAATATACAGAATAACTTTCTGCGATTGTTGCTCTGTATGAAATAAAATAAAAACAAAGAAAATATATTAATTGACATGTTATGATACAGTACAAAACATTATGAACGCGACAATGAAATAAAAAATGAAAAAAAAAATTGTAAGTTCCCTATAAAAATAAACTTAATGTTACGCTAGGGGGAGGGAGGGTCTTAAAGGGGTAGTTTTTGTTGTTTAACTTACTGAATTAAAATGTAAACCTTGACTTTTTTGTAATTAATACTAACATAATTAAATTGAAAATATCTGTTTATTACGTAATTAGCCATTATTAAGTAGAGAAAAAATAATGTCTTATGAATGTACATTTATACATGTATAAAATCCCATGATCACAGTAACAACCCTATTTTCTGGGCTTTATATCTTAAGCAGGTGATAGTAGATATTACAAAAATGTGTGAAATAACAAGTGCTTTTTCTTTTCCTTTACGAAACAAAAACCTACAGAAAAATAACGTCTCCTTCTCCTCTATCACGCGGCGGTTCCCAGAGTAAGGTCACGTGACTTTTAGGATAAGGATCCACGTGTGTGATGGCCGAGCACGGGAGAGGATCAGTTCCTTTAACCTTTTTCCATGAGCCAATTCTTTTTTTCGTATGAGGATCAATGGCGGCTACAAAAAATCCCTTAAAAGGAGCGCCTAAAATCTCAACTGGAAAAACGAAAAACGAACTATAAATGACTGAGAAACAATTAACGTCATTTCTATTCAAATCTTTGAAGGCTCTACTTAAAATATTCACAATATTAAAAGTATTATAAAGTTTTAATCAAACGTTGGTAATTTATTTACCAATAATGTTATTGCAATAACTCGAATAATTCAGCGCCATCTATCCCACTAGGATCGATTTTTGAGATTAATAGGCGGAAAATGAAGATTGAAGTTAAATTTTTTAGCCTTTGTAACTAAGTGTAGATAATTATTTATAAGTTTTAAACTTAGCTATCGTATGTGCGACATGCATTTTCTTATTCTTGATATAAATTTTAAACCTTCTTTACCTATTTTCATTAGTTTTTATTAGTTCCTACTAATTCATTCTAATAACCTCAGCATGTGACTAATATTCTCGTACGCTAACTAAAACATTCTAAGACCCTCAACACGTGACTAATATTCTGGTACGCTAACTAAAACATTCTAAAAATCAATCTCAACATGTGACTAAAATTCTCTTACGCTAGCTAAAGCACTAAAAATGTCAACACGTGACTGATATCTCGAACTTTTACTAACACATTATAAGAACCTCCACACTTGACTGATACACCGAACTCTTACTAAAACATTCTAAAAATCTCAACATGTGACTGATGTCTAATAAAGCCTCAAGAAAATAGTATATATATTTTTATGTTGTTTGCACCTTTAAAGATAACTTTAAAAAAAATATGGTATGTCTTATTTACGTACCTGTTATTCCAGGAATTGTGCTGTATGTATAATGATTTGTAGAAGCAATGAAACTGAAGGGGGAGCTTTCTGGCGGACTGGGCTTCAATAGTTCATGGCGGGGGAGCATAGAATCACAAGATTCGACAGGAGCTCCTTGTGGAAAGGCGTGTATGACAGAGATAAAAACACAGAAGAACAGCAAAGCAATGGTTATTCTTAGGCACCACATATTCTGGACAAAAGTTAGGCACAAGCTGGTAATATAATTTGAGGATTAAGTACCAACTATTACCGTATTAGTTCCAAGAGACCTATGTTCTGTAACAACACGCGAGGCGTAAGGAAATATCGAGGTAAAGTAGCCCAGGGACGAGACCGATGTGTGGGGTGGTGCTTGAGTGAGTTAACTACACCCAGTATCAGTGAAAGTTGGTCAGATGTGTGATAGCAGCAGTCTACGGTAAAGTGTCGCGAGATACTCGTTAAAGCCTTCCGATTTGTTATTTCACAGTCACCTGCTTTCTTTATATCCTTACCGTCTATGCCGAAACGATGCTCGAGAAGACTCTTAAATATAGCTCACTCGCTGATCAACTTGAACAACAAGTTTTTTCTAAGTTTCCACCGACACTTTATCAGTTTGTGGGGTTAGTTTATTGACAACTAGTAAAACCTCAGAGACGTTGTTGAATTTTTCGAAAGTTTTATATCCAGATCACGATTTGATTTGGATATTTTTAAATCTAAAATATGGAGACATGAATGCTTAACAATTTATATATGTATATATTTAAAGCCTAAGAAATAGGGCATGACTATGTTAGCACATCATCCAAATAGGACAGACTGATGGCTACCAAGAAATCTTTTTTTTTCTTTTCTAGCTATAGCCATATAAAAAATTCTGTTCTGACTGACAATATCTACATATAATTCGACCTTATAAACAAAAATTTTTGTTTTGTTTTGACCACAATGGTATATCTGCGCTGTGCTCTTTGCGAAGCTAGAATCCCGAATTTTAGTGTTATAAGCCTTCAAACTTAACTCTGAGCCATCGACGGCTTTATGAAAAATAATAAACATGAACTAATTTTTTACGGAAGCGAAAAGTAACTCACGTAGCCACTGCATGGAACTATCAACCGAAATCTGTGTGCTCTGCTTGATTCAACTGATACTTTCAATTGCATAGAGCATCTGGATGTTATTTGTATTTGTGCAGCCAATCCACATAAAAATATCGACCAAATACCAACAAGTCTTTTAATTTCGGACCTTAAACTTATGTTAGGGTTGATGTTCAATAAAGTTTTTCTTCATTACCCATTCAAGCCGTCTCCAGCCATTATTTATCTTGTTAGATGTTTTCAGAGTAATACACAGTGTACTGAATGAAATATCACAATCATTTTTATTTTGCGGACACTTTAATTATCATCTTACTTATTTCGACTCATGCAATAGTAATAAAGAATAACTGGCTTTTACTAAGTGTTTTGTGCTTTTCTTAAAATCCGTAGACTCACCGCTGTCACAGGAAGATAAATTTTAATTTATTTTCAAGTTAGCTTGATCAACTTGGTTAAAGTTTTCATCGTATTTAGACTCGGCCATTAATTTTCATTTAGTTTTGATATTATTCACTCATATGTACACAGTGGATAAAAAAAAAAAACTTCCGCCAAAATTCCAAGACGAGAGCAGTGAACTTAATATCTTTCTTGGTTAAAGAAAAAATTACATGGTTTATGAAAGTATTACTTGGCTTAATAAACTACTAATTTCTTTTTTTTATAGATTCAAATGATAAAAGTTACAGTCAGTTGTTTTTATGGTCTGTAGGTTTCGTTTCGGGTCTGCTGGTTAGAGAGGGAAGATCTTAAAGCAACAAGTAAATCGCTATCATTTTTACTTCGCACTCGCCCCCCAGTGGCACAGCGGTATGTCTGCGGACTTACAACGCTAGAAACCGGGTTTCGATACCCGTGGTGGGCAGAGCACAGATAGCCCTTGTGTAGCTTTGTGCATAATTAAAAACAAACAAACAAACAATACTTCGCACTCTAGAAACTTAAGAGGAATCTGGAGTAAAGCCAACAAATTAGTAGAGTTCGGAAGCACAGAGAGTAAAACTTCTACCTTTTGTGTATGTATTTATTTTGTAATTATTTTCTGAACCTTTTTCAAACCAAAGCACGTGAAAGTAAAGACACTGTTGTAATTTTGAGTAACTAACTCAATGTGTTACCAAACAAATTGTAAAATGTCTTCTTTTGTAGTTTTGTCGTCCTCGTTATTTTCTTTCGAAATATCGGTCATAGCTGAATAAAGCTAAGCTGACTGTTCAGTTGTTTCTTCTTTTTCCTGTGGTACCACACGCAAAAATGTTTTACCTCATCTTCGTTGGGTTGAGAAGGAAGCCTTAGATAAAATATCTTAGGTTGTATGTTTACTATCTGCAACGTCTGTAAAATTATCCAGAAACAAGGTAACACATGTAGCATGTGACAAGTAAACGGGATGTTGTTATTGTTGTTTGTTAACAAATTCATTTGAAACACATATAATTTGTCAACTGTGTGTGGAATTGTGTTGAACGAGCAAGTCTACATACATATTCTCAAACCAGATTTCATAGAAACATCTTTTCGGTATTAACTGGAAACGAATATGTTCACACAAATTGGTAAGTTTATAGGAAAAGAATAAAATAAGATAAAGTGTACACAACATATACAGTAGATACTGGGCGTAAACAATGTTATCAAATTACTCATTCGTACCCAACTTCTGGTTCCAGATGAAGCAAAGCTGATGAATCAGTAAATACATATGTGTGTACCAAATGAATCATAACAGTATTCATGAAATATGAAATTAATGTTTTTAAATTCAAAATATTGAAGAAAAGAACAAAATATTTAGATAACTGATTAACTAAAGTACGCATGAGACACACACGCGTCTATATATGTATATATTTCGAGGAAGTGTTTTACATTAATCTCCATTCAAATAATACTGTAAAGAAATTCAAATAATTCCCTTTCAGGTTTTTTCTTCTTCCTTCAAAACTTTTAAATCAACAGAATTGTACTTACCAGACCAAGTAAACGATAAAAATCTATTCGCAGATAAAGAACAGTGCTAGAAAAATTATGAATTGTGTTTTGTTTTTTTATGAAAAACGTGTTAGTCGTGACTTCCTAGCTGTTTGTTTTAGTTTTCTCTTTGTCGGATAATTGCCGTTTTTAACTAATACAACTAGTTACGGTAAAAATATTTCGTGCATAGTTTATTACAGTACAACCAACTTTAACGTTTTTCATCTGTAAAGCTATTCATGCAGCTTAAACGTAGATCAATGAGTAACACAAATGAGTGTAACAGATCGTACAAACTGTTGACTGGAATATGTAACATATTATACACACTGTTGACTGGAGTAGGGACTTGCATACGAAAGGATAACAGAACCCTGAAGTACCACGACCGACATTTCCCGTTTCGCATGGTATGAGGGAATATTGGTATCCTTCCTTTACTTGACGGCGTGCTCTATGCCATCTTATCCACGTTTTATTTTAAACTTGCTTTATTGAAACTTCTGCCATCGCTACAAGATAAATGCTGGTTTCCCTAAGATATCTAAAAAAACGCATACTTTATGATAGTTGATACGTGACTTGTCACGGTACAACGAATGTAAATAAAATATCTGGCCCACCGCCCAACACATTAGACAAGTGCGTTCACATGTCGACAGATGTCGCATTACATATCACTGGCACGAATGTGAAACTAGCAATACTTACTCTCTAAATAAATTGGCTTTATTTAAACTTGGATATTACAAAAGCATTACAGCACGGCTATCATATTAAGTGTAAATAAGATGTAGACTCTTTTCAAGGCATATTTTCTTTTACTATAAGGTGACAAAAATTAAAAGAAACCGAATTCAAGAGAATACTTCAAAAACCAAGTACCTACTTATCTCAAAGAAGTGTAAAAAAAAAAAAAAGATAGAAACTGTGCTAGCCGTCCCTAATTTAGCAGTGAAATACTAGATGGAATACAGCTAGTTATCATCACCAACCGCCAACTCTTGTACCAACGAGTAGTGGGATTGGTCGTGACGTTATAACGCCCCCACGGCTGAAAGGATGGGTGGGGATATGAACCAGTGACCGTCAGATTGCGAGTCAAGTGCCCTAACCACCAGGCTATGTCGGGCCGAGTTATATTTATGCGTGTATGTGTGTGTGTATTAAAGTAGTCTAGAAACAATATATTATACGTATATTAAGAAAATTTAGTTTTTAATATCATAATATTCAAAGTATATTTCTACATCAAAACTATTTGACAAAAACAAAGAGATGAAGATTATCACAATATAAAACAATATTTATCAGCTATATAAACAATAAGATTTGTTTGTTTTTTATATTATGCTCTAAAACAAAGCCACATTGGACTATCTGCTGTGTCCTCTGTGGGGAATCGAACTCCGGATTTCAGCATTGGAACTCCATAAAATTACCGCTGTCCCACCAGGAGACAACTACTTGGAAAATTAAATTAAGAGCGATCTCCGCCACTTGACTTTTCTGCTGTTATTTAGTTTTCGTTATCTCGTGACAAATTAGGTATAATAATTGTGAACTCTGTTTTGAGGTGTATGTTTTCTAGGCTACATATGTACCAATTTGCTTGTGGGTCCATGATTTTGTTGGTTGCAGGGGCGCCTAATAGCTAAACACACACAAACAACAACAAACAAACAAAAACACGTTAACAACATCATTATCAATATTGCAATTAATTACATTAATTATTGCTAGGGTTCCACCTATGTATATATTTTACACATAAAATGAGTGATTTCACCTAATATTTTGATCAGTTCTTTAAACTGACTGTTTAAACAAGCAAGATCACGAAATTACTCAATATGATGCAATAACTATGGAACAAGAGTTATATAATACCATATATATAATGAACCAGCTCCTCAGGGAGTTATGGAATATAAATACCGAGTATAAAATACATTATATAATGAACCAACTCCTCAGGGAGTTATGGATTATAAATACTGAGTATAGAATACATTATATAATGAACCAACTCCTCAGGGAGTTATGGAATATAAATACCGAGTATAAAATACATTATATAATGAACCAACTCCTCAGGGAGTTATGGAATATAAATACAGAGTATGAAATACCATGTATTTATATTCCATAACTCCCTGAGGAGTTGGTTCATTATACATGGTATTTCATACTCTGTGTTTATATTCCATAACTACCTGAGGAGTTGGTTCATTATATATGGTATCATATACTCTGTATTTATATTCCATAACTCCCTGAGGAGTTGG